ACTTCTTTTCTGACGTCGACATAATCAACGTGGTTTTTGCCTAAATTTTATTTTTCTCACTGGCGCCTTGTTTTCAACCAATAAGAAAAATAAAATTTAGGCAAAAACCACGTTGATTATGTCGACGTCAGAAAAGAAGTCAAAGTAGAATTATAAGGAACCCGCTGTCGGATTCACCGAAAAATTGTGCACCTTCGCCCAATTTTTACCTAATTTGGTGCAGCGCGGCAAAAGTCCGTAATTTTCTAAAGGATCAGCCTTGATGTTTTATCTGAATCTATGTTAAACGCATTGTCATATTATGATAATTAACACCTCTCTCTCCATTTCCTCTCCGTAAAATAATTCGTATATCAGTTTTATCTCAAAAATTTTTTCGAGAATAAATCGATATAAAATCGGCTGCTAGAAAAAGGCTACCAGACTAGAACGGCGAGCAGTCGGCTAATTTCGATTTTAACGTCACTTCTATGTCTGTTAGCTGAAGAGCGTGCATTTGAGATAAAATTTAAACAATTAGTAAAATTATCATTAATTATAAAATTATGTGTAAAATTAACTTTTACTCTCAAGCTAACACGTTTCTGAGCATTTTCGTCAGCTCAACTTTTCATACGGTACTATATTGCTCGATGATAATTTTAATAAACCTTGTAATGATTATTGAAATAGGATAAGCTCGCATATTTTATATAAATCGTTTACTTCCTACTTTCTTTTGCTATTACGAAGCCTGTATCTATATTCTGTACAACGACTGAAGTTGTGCAATCGACTCGATGTTATCAGTAGTAATTTTTTGGTATGTTCTTTTTGTGTTCTGTTTTTTTCATGTGCTTAGACCGAAAAGAGAAAGTAAAAGAAAAGCTGCACATGCGTACTCGGGACGTTAATTTAGTGCAATTTAAAAAATTAATATAAATTCATCATTTATTTACCTTTATTTTTGAACAGCAACAACAGGTTATTTGAAAGAAATAATGAAGTTTTTGCATAAAGAAAAAATCACCAGTGATTGCTTTGTAAGAATTGAAAACTTTCGAAGGTGACACTGGATAAACGATTGTCAACGAATTCGTGACATTTAAGTAGAATGGGGTCTTTGTTAATATACGAAGTCGGATAACTTATATTTTTGTTTTCTCATAAAATATATACTTTGTCTTCGCAACAGAAATAAAGATGTTTTCGCATAACATTTAGTATGGACGATCCACAAAATTCAATGGATTGGAGTACTTCCTCATCGATCATAGATAGACGATCAGCGTCCCCGAAACAACACGAATTTTATTATACAGAGATGCCAAATCCTTTGTCTGTTTATGTGCCGTTGGCATCACTGACCCAGCCAACAGTTGCTTCGATCATTTCAGCTGCTCTTCGATATGATAAACCAGATTGGAATAACAGCAGACACACTCTACGTGCTTTCTTGCTTGCACTCAATGAAAAACTCAATGAAATTGAAAAAAGTAAAGACACAGAATATGACGAATTCGATGAACGTACTATTCAACATGCGGCTGAAGTTCGTAAATGGTGCATAAAAGTTGATCATGAAACTGATCAAAGTGTTGAACTTGACTGGCATAAAATTAGACAAGCATATAACTGGATCGCCGGTCAAAAAGGTGATGAAATGGCGAAATATTTCCGCGTCAGTGATCCAAAGCCATATTATGAGATGACTGTACTAGCGGTAAGTTGGGATATGTTTATGTTTGCATATTGTAGTACCTATGTGAACGATGCATTGTATAGAATATTACGATTAGGAGTTATCAGGACCAAGTCATCTCGCCGGGGGCAGAACCAAAGTCCGTCAAGGCGATCTCGGCGCACATTGTCAAAAAAGTTTTGTCCGATGTGTCCATCAGCCATTCTTTGGTAAAAAGAGCAGAACAAAGCAATGGCTGAAAACAAGATCTTTTTACTAGTCTAACAGCAAGAAAAGATTGATGCTTTATATCGCCTAACAGATATCCTTTTGAACTTTTATGGCTGACCGGGACCAAAAACATCCAGTTCGCTCATCCCTAATTACGAAAGTAGTTAACAGGGAAGCGATAATAAATTTTGGTCGGATAACTAAGGATTGACATTTTCCGTAATATACATCAGTTATGAAATATTGACGACAAAAAAGAACAAGCTTATTTGAACTGTTTCATATTTTTATCTTCGTCGAATTTAAAGAATATAATTTAGCTATGATGATTTTTCTGTAGTCAAAACTAACCATATTCTCAATCCTAAAAAGTTGAGTTATAAGAATTGTTATGTGCTTGTTTGAGTTTCGATTAACCAGAATTTACCAATAGAGTCAAGCTTCTTCAAATAGGGCTAATTATGATGCTGAATAAAGAAATCAATTAATTTCATCACCAAACATATCTAATCCTTAATATTACAGTAAGACGGATTTTTCCACCCATCATTCTCAATCAATCAGATTTTTTATTCCATTACTTTTTCTTAGATAGGATTTTGTTCGTTGAAAATTTAAAATTGATCTTCGGCTTTCGGAATCGAGTCTAGCAAGATTAAGCGGACCGAGGCGTTAATTGTGTTATTCGGTTGAATTTTCATACGTAGATTAGTGGCGTAGTCACGTGAGGACTCAGGTTAGAGTCCTACGGGAACGACTTTAATCCGTTCCCATACAACTTTCTGGAAATTCCCGTTGAATCCTCACAGAAAATAGAACGAAAACCGGACGGAGAAAATCGCTTCTGAAGAATTCTAATGTGAATATCAGCAGATGAATTCAACAGCAATCACAAATGAAAACAGAATTTGAGAGAAGGATTGAATATCAAACGAAAGCTTTCAGCATAATCCCCGTGGGTTCAAAATGCGCATCGTACTCGAGCCGCCAGAATGATATAACAATTAGTTTATTCATAGTATTCGACAAATTGTACGCGTAGTTGGGATTCGTCCTGTTCTCACTTTCCTATGTTTAAAATTGTCAGTGTCTGTAAAGATGTGCCTGTGTGTGGTATCTGTGGCGAGAGGGGTCTCCATAAGGTCTGTAATGGGACCTCTAAATTGTTTGATTGCTTGATATTAGTTTGTCTTTTCAACATATACGTATAGCAACCATTGGATTTCCTATTTCAGATGTATAAGCCTTTCGAAGTACAGTGGCGAAAACCAGTTTTGCAAAAACTTGTAGAAATTAAAATCTTTGAGTTGATTTAGCATTCGTATTCTTCCCTCACTCCAAAAATCGACTTGCATCATACTAGAAGATATTAGTAGAGGAATAATTCTTTAAATCTGCTAAGTAATTTAAAGAAGTACTCCTCATTTTTGGCAGGAACATATTTCGTTCATTATTGCCTTTTATAGATATGCCTCTTCTGTACTTTTTTAATCGCGTGTCAATTCTTTTACGTAAAGAATTCGAAAATTTTACGTACTGTGTTATATGGTTTATCTACATACAAATGAGATTTATTCAGGTACATCCAGATATTGAACAGGCTCGTGGCTACATGGAACGGTATCGCAAGGACGGCTTTAGTCCCAATGAACTTAAAGTCTATTGA